TTTCGCGCGCTCAGGAACGGCGAAATGACAAGTGATATAAAAAGAACGATATTCATAGGAGCACTTATATCACTTGTCATTTCGCCGTTCCTGAGCGCGCGAAATTTCAGCCCTATCATTTGTGGAAAATAATCGCTTCTAATTTAAAAACTATTATAGCCTCGACACTTTTGTATTAGGATTTTCGTCTGGAAATGTTCTAAGGAATCTGTCATTAAGAGGACCTCCGGTGGTTTTAGGACACCCTGTATTTTACGTATAATTTCATTGTTTTTCTAATCAGTCAATATACATATTCGATCGCTGAATTTTATCCTTCCACATGAAGAATATACTTTATCCTGTTGAAGATGGATCGGCTGATTTTACGGGTCGCTGCTCTTTTTCACCTCGAAAGTGTTATAAATTACTCTTGGAAAGACAGGAATGGTATTACGGTGGTATATGGGCGATAAATTCTTGTAAGGATTTCCTATAGCAATTGTGTCTGTAACTAAAGTCAGTGCAGCAGGAAGAAAGAAGATAATTTGAGAACTTGCATTTTCATAAAAAAAAAGAAACCGGCGCGCAGGACAAATGTAGAAAAAGAAACGGTATATGAATTCACAATTTATTAAAAATTACAAGTATAGGCTATCTACATCTCGCCTTGATTCACATTGGCCATTGTTGTTACTTGTTTAATTTATTGGTGTATTGCCGTTCTCTCGCCTCGATATAGATATCGGTACGGTTCTGCAGATATCGTATCATGGATGTCGATGGTCAAGTACTGACGAGCATTATAGTTTACGAGTTATAGGCTATGTATAGGCTATGTAGTCAAGAAGGTTTATGTTGCGCAACAGCTGATAAACGTTCAATATATCATGAGAAAATTGTAAAAGTCCACAATTAGATATTAGTAAATTTGCATTACTAGAATATTTACATTTCATACATTTGTAAAACAAATGATGTGAAATTTTGTTTATTTTTTACTCCTTTTATCAGTAAATTTTTATACATGATGATTATTTGTCTATCTGAAAGATCACATTTATAGTTATAATAGTTTCAACTGACAGCATTAGTGCCAACAGTAGTTAGAATCGTGTTTTGTTATTTGCAGTATCCATGAAACCATTTGTGTGACATCAGTATAAAAATCTGGGTAGTTAATATCGGCACATAATAATCCGCTTGAAGTAATTCCTACAAAATAAATTTTTCCAATTACATTGTCAAAGTATTATTTATGTTGCAACTCACCTATCAATACGTATTTATTATTCTCATTCAATATTTGAAGAGGGCCGCCGCTATCACCCTGAATTAAAGTGTAAAGTTGTAATATAATATTATATTTAAGTTATTTATTGCTATAGTAACAAACTTATTTTATTACACTTAGTAACTTGCATTATCATGCTAAAAACTAAGTATTACTAAATATACAAGTCAACTTTATAAATTTACATTCAAAATTTATTTGATGGCGTTGTTATTTTCTAATATGCCATCTGTTATGTTTTTGCTATGATTTTGTTTAGAATTGGACAAAAACTAAATATTTACGAAAGAGACCATATTTATAAAACACATCACAATTTTATGGTTAAGACCACATTGTTGTAAAAAGTTGTAATTATGTGAAATTATAGTTTCTGTTAGCAATTACTCATTCAATAAAATCAAGAAAAATTATTTGTGTTCAGAAATGTATTAGGCATGCATGCGTTGTGAATGTAATTTCTGAAATATGATTTATAATGTTAATATAAAAATCTAGTATATTTAAACTACGTGTAAGAGATAAATACTTAAAAGTACCCCACAAGTGCCTCGTGGTGATTCTTTATATCCTGCGCAGAGCAAAGTCGAGATATCAGTAGGACAATCCGATCGTGTAAATAATGTTAAATCCACAACACGCAAACCACATTCTTTACTAAATAAAGAGTCATTTTCTGAGAATCCCCAGCCAAGTGCAGATACGGATTGCTTTTCATATTGAGAGAATGCATTTAGTTCTATATGGAAAACAATGATCAATATTAAATATTTTACTCACTCATAAATTTGCAGATATACATAATATTAATTGCATTAAGTGCATTACTATACAAATATCGTACGCAATATAAATTACCGTGTTTTGGCAAACAGATCGGTTTAACAAATCTGTTGAAAGTAATTCTCATAATTAACTTCACCAGCATAATATCGGCAAAATTTGTATCTCTGTTGTAACTTGGATGTGGGAAAATACTATTAACAGAAAATATTGTACTTTTCGAATCCCATTTGCATGAATTATGAGCGCCGACGGATACTTTTAGATCATCTTGGCTGAAATTATGAAATACAAAAGATTATTTATATTGTTTGTAAACTTGTATAATCTTTGTAGATAATAGCAAGCGAAATTATTATTAGAAACAAAGTTTGTGTAAATTATAATCTATTAGAAAATTATTATAGTCTATAAAAAATTATTTTTTCATATAAATAATTGAATAATTTGTAAATAATTATAAAACTGTTTTATACCGTTAAACTTTTACAATTATTTTACAAATAATTTGAATATATAAATATATATATAATAAATATATAATAATAAATAAATATAAAACAAAATAGTTTAAATAAGTATATAATTTTAACACATTCATTAATTTACCAGTGCATAATAATATATTTCCTATTTAGAAATTAATTACTGTGATGATGTTTATATATATATTATAAATTGTATATGTATACCCGTAGATAACACAGTGAGCTGCTGTTATAACATAATGATCGCTTATAATTGATGCTCCGCAGATTATTTGCGATCTATTGATACTTATTATACCAGCCATCCAGGGAAACTCATTTTCAAGAACTTCTCGTCCTCCAATAATTCTAGATGATAAAATATTTTTGTTTCCGCATTCTAGAGCATAATAATGATAACAATATTTTTACAGCATGCTGTTATATTAAATTTTATTTTTATATGTTTTACAATTAGTTTAATTTTATTATGCTTCGCATGATTCATTCGCATGATTCACATAATATTCGAAAAACTTAGTTATTTAATTTTTATAAATATACACGTAAAAATGACATTATTAACACTTCTTGTAAGGTTAGAGATTATGTATAACAATGTATTAATAAATAAAAATTGAATTTAGGGATTTTATAATTTTTTCTCTTGCCATTATTTGCAAAATTATAAAAATTTAAGATTAATCTTACCACAATGCTTGTGATCAGATCTTCCGTGAAACGCATCAGTATGTCTATGCACTCCTTCATACCACGAAGACGAATTAACATGTCTAACTATTAGACATATTAAATTAATTAATATGAAATACTGCATGTGTGACATATTAAAACAAGAGCTTACAATTATTACAGTGTATTTTACTGAACTGACTGCTCCGCTTAATGCAGTAAATACTTTAATGTCTAATATTTCCATGTGTGTGAGAAGAGCGGACGTGGTTTAACTCGCTAATAATTTCTAGATAAGATAATACTTAAGGTTTGCAACTTTTTCCTACTAATTGTAAGAAGTAATGAGTTGTTTAGATCTGCAAAACGTTCGAGATTAGAAAATTATAAAAATGAATGTTTGCTATTCGATGTGACGTTTTAAGTCAAGTTGATTGATTACATGTAATTTTATAAACACTTTAATTTAATTTGAATCTAAAATTACATGTGATAAATGTGATATAGCTTACTATATGTATAATGCAATAAAAACGTTCTTATTTAAAAAATTATACATGATTCGTACTAATATTTTACAATTTTCATATTTTGTATGTATACATATGCAATAATAAGAAAGTGTATATGTATATACATATGTACTCGTATACATGTTAAGCAAATGGTCTTTATTCTGTTTATATTGACATTCAAAATTATTTTATGTGCTTTCTAAAATATAACATGTATATTATAATAGTAGAAATAATGACAATAAATGTACTTATCAGTATTATATGTATATGTGCAATAAGTTTTTCATAGAATGACTCAAAGTTGGCCTGTATTTTATTTCGTACAGTAGCATGCATCCTTAGTATGTTGTAATATCCAATCGAGACGCGGTCCTACTCTCGTAAAAACAGTTGGTCTAGGAGTATCGTTACATTCATTCACGCTCGGAATAATTCCTACAATACATATGATGTGTATACATATTTTGTTAGTAATATATTTCTTTAACTGTAACAAATAATAATTTACAAGTGCATTAATCACAAAATATATGTATATATTATATTTATAAGTATAATAGCTATAATCAGAAAGTTGAGGTTTTTAAAAATAAATGTGTATTAAATAATTGTATTCTATACTATAAATTTGATACGTAGTTCTTTTGGAATATTAAATTAGTTTTAATTCGACAAATTGTTATAATTACCAATGAGGTCGTAAATTCCGCCGTATGATCGATATTGCACAGAAGATCCAACGTCATTCTATAAATATGCAATATCATTACAATATAAATAAGTATGACATAATGTTTGATAAATTAATTTTTAAATTGAGATAAATAAATTGTTCACAACTTAAATTTATATATATATAGTTTTTTAAGTTTACTTGACTTAAAACACTTTTTGTAAATGTTGGAAAATTATTATATACTGTTATGTTTTAAAATCATAATGTATATAATTTACTTACTCCGCACACTAAAGAATTTGTACCCACAACTCCAATGCATCCGTAATCATCATTTAAGGTTGTTGGATTTATTCCTGATTTAGCACACTCTTTATATCCTAGAATAGGAAGTCCTAATTTTCGAGGCCTACACGTCTGATTACCAATATTGTCTTTGTGTTTGGTCCAGCCTACTAAAGTCCCAACTTGACCGAGATAAGTTGATCCTTGAATTTAGGAAAAAAAAACATAAATGTATACGTCCTACATTGCATCGTATTTGTTCGACATTTTAGATTTATGTTACGAAAAGATACAAACCTGGATTGGGCAAGCATACCGGCGATATTCTCTTCTCGAATTTAGTTGGTCGACTCAAACGAATTAAAGCTAGATCGTGAGTACTTGACTCTGGATTGAATTCTGGATGCAAGATTATAGATTCGACGCTGTTGTTTACTGACGAGATGTCTAAGGTACATCGATCGTATTCTCCCAAGGATATCTTTATTTCATGTGCTGTGGCTCTGTCAAGAAAAATATTAGTTACATAGGATATTTTACAACTACTTTTTTCTTTTATTATCAAGACATGATTATGTTTAATAATAATATTTTACTGTGTACTAACCCAACAAGTTGACTAGCTGCTGTTAAGACATAACGATCGTTTATCAATGCTCCGCTAAATAGCAATTTGGAGTTTACGTGAATATTTGCGAGCCACGGAAATTCATGCGAGTCTGTAGGTTCACCACCCAATAATCGCGCTGCATTACGATTTGATCGACCGCATACTACAGGTGCATAAAATATCGATTAATTATATAAAATACGTATAAAAATTCAAATAAAAAATATATAAAACCAGAAATTATTACAAAAAAATATTTTTAATAAAATGTACAATGTTTAACAATCTGGAACATTAATTATATCTGTTATGTTTATACCGAAAAATAAAAGTTTTCTATAATATTTCAGAAATACATTTTTGTCATATTTTACATAATGTGTATTACGTAGGTAACATAGCTCCCTAACCATTTTATTTTGTGAAAAGATAGTCCAGCTGCGTATTATGAAATTTCCTTGTAAATGCGGGCATGATTGTATATGTATAATAAAAAAGCTGCTAAAACCTTTCTAAAAGGTACTTATACTTTCAAAATATATGATATATTTTATACGATAATTAATAAATATATTGATCTGTCATAATTGTTTTATAGCCCTTATAATTATTATTTAAACAAATTAAGGAATACTGTTTATCTCACAATATAAATAATTTATAAGAATTTTGTTTAAATTTTTATAACTTTTTCTATTTATATATTTAGTATATATTTATAATATTACTTACAACACGCACCACAGGTTCGAAACCTTCCAAAAAGAAGATCTAAAACGCCGCGTTTATGTCTTATTTCAAACTGATCATCGTCCTATTCAATAAATACATTTATTTACAGACTTCTTTTATATAATTCAAAGAGCAATGTAATTTTATACAAAATGAAAATGTAGCGATATTGGAATAGAAAAATTTGGAATATTTGTTACACGCGTCAAATATATTAATTGATGGAAATATATGAAAAATCGTAAAAGTAGACCACTATGGTAAAAATTGGCGTGTCAAAATTGATATGTAGAGGCTTACAGCAACATCAATGATGCGTTTGTTGCAGTCAGTTTTTCCAAAATTCACCACCAACATACAAATGAGGAATCTGATACAGTCTTGCAGCTTCATGACTTTTCTGTCGGTAGTCGAGGCGATACTGGTCTCGCTTAAACAACAGGTTTGTGTCATATAGCGGGACTATCATTGCCCGCATCCTGAGACACTTTCAAGAATGTAAACTCAATGTATTCCGTACGTTTCACATTTGTACTCAAGCATTTGATTCTACCGTTGTATTCGTTTCGTTTTTTACGTTTCATTTTGGCATGAGAAGCCAGTCAGTAACCGGTTCGCTAGTCCCGTTATACGTTTCTCGGATCCACAATCAATATATCACTTAACATAAACGAAATTGGTTTGGTACCTTTGATATTTAAGATTTATGAATAAATTCTTGAACATAATAATAATGCATGTCAATCTCGATGTCAATATATGTATAATAATTTTGTTCAATATACTTTTTCTACTAAAATTTATAATTTATTTTTAGTTATATATTTGGTTTTGTGAAAGTAGTTTCTTACGAAAAATATAATAATATCGAAATTATAATAAAATCTGTAAAAATATTAACAATATTAGATACGTCATTATGATATATGCAATATGTAAATATTTATGAATTTATTAATATATGTTAAAATATGTTATATATGTGCGCACACGCACGCACACACCCATACATTTTTAAACTTATATTAATAATTTTATGTATGTGTATGCTGTTACTTTCTGAAAGACGTGTATAGAAAGAATCATTTAAAGCTAATTATGCAGATTTATTACAGTTTTGTATAATATAAAAACTTATAACAATAAACATTTTCTATAAAAGTTATGACATTGGTAGCTTAAATCTATATAATCTGAATCTCACTAGTCAATTTCCTTGGCAACAGAATTGAGTACTTTAGCCTTTGGCTATATTTCAGCAAAAACAATTGTATGGTAAATAATGTACAGTATAATATTATTTCCGCAAACGCTTGACAATCTAAATCATTCTACGATGATTTATGATGTCATAGATATTTGTAATTTCGTGATGTCGTTTCCTAATTACTCATTGTCGCTATATTGCCGTTATACAGATGTTAAATGAGATACATGACATAATAATAAATCTACTAGATAAAATGTAAAAACAATATTATACAAAAATTCAAATTGTTTGAGTAATAAGTTTATCAGTTTCATATTTTACGTATCATCACTCCAAATTTGCTAAATATAAATTATGCATAAAAAGCCGTTACGGGAATATTATATATATCTTAACAATATATTTACGTATAAGAATTCAGAAAACTTTATATATGTACAGTAATACATAAAAATCATTCTCTTTGCTCTTTTTATATTTTTCATCAAGAATCGTCGGATAACCATAATTAATTATTCTCACAGAAACAGCCGTCTTTTGAATTGTTTAAAATCCAGTCCATATACCGTGTAACTCTTGTATATACACCTGGGTACCCAGGTCTTGCGCATCCGTTACCCCAAGACACCACACCAATGAGTTCGTACTTTTTATCTTCGCGCTCCGTTATCAGCGGTCCACCACTGTCCCCCTGTAATGTAAAGGAGTCCTATCAATGGAAAGGGCTCGGGCATCCGTGATCCAAGCAATATTTAACATAGTATAAAATTTTTAAGTTTTCAATTTTTAAACGCGCAGTATTACTTGACATGAATCCTTTTGCCCTTCAAGATAGCCCGCGCATAGCATGTTGTCTGAAATCATTCGGGGACTGTAGCTGGTATTACGACAAGTCTGAAGACTCATGACTGGAACTTCGACTTCCTGGAGAATACAGGATGGTTTGCCATCCTCCTTCAGTGTACCCCAACCTGACACGATTGCCTTAACTCCCACGTACTCGTTATCTAAAACGTATTTCTATATTGGATATTATGACAAATAATTAATCATGTAAGCTCGCAAATTCCGACAAAAATAATTCTATAAAAATAATTAGCAAAATATTTTTTTTCTTAAATAATTTTAATTAAATTTAAATATAGTTTTAATAATAATAACATATTGGCATAAGAGTATAACTAAAAGAATCTTAGAAGTAATCCATTTTTATTTAAAAAATAAAATATTCGAAAACTATTTTTAAAGAACATTAAGAATTTTTCAAATACAGATGTATTCTAGACGCACATTATAATTTAATAATGTGCGAATATGCTATAGTGCCAGAAATCAGGGCATGTAAGTGTACCATGTCATGCTGCGTTAATATATTCAGGAAAGATTGTGTGCATTCGAAATGCAAATTCGAAGGCCTCAATTTCAAAGAAATCTTCATTATTACGCAGTTATGTACGCGTCGTGACAATACATTACAATAACTGAGAGGTACCCGTATATTGACTAATTTATGACTCCGCTGTCGCGTAATCGTCGCATAATAAACATGACGGTTAGTCGTGCAACATTATTTAATATTACGCTCCGTTATGTAACAACATACTAACAAATTTAATAATTGCGAATTCATTGTTGTAATATTGACCGAACATGTGATATACTGGATATATTGAAAGTGGTTATCAATAATGTATTTGATATGTATTACATTAAAATTGCATCTTCAGTAAATCTTATACGAATTTACTTCTCAAACTGTAAAAAAATTAACGAAGAATATTTTACTATTATATTATTTGTTACTTTATTACGTCTTCATAAAGAAAAAATAAATACTCTCATATATGATGGTGATCCGATTTTTATAAAAAAGTTTCTACCAGGCATTATCGTTATCTTATTGCAACTTTAGCAAGAAAAGAAAAATATGCACATACCCAATGTTGTCGGTAAGCATATCGGCCGTATTGTATCGCTCAATGGTACCCTTTCATTGAGGCGAAGAAGAGCAATATCATTTTCGAAATTCAGGAAACTGAAATCACCGGTTAGAACACGTACCACGTATCTAGTTTCCGGTCCTTTCTCGATACATCTATCATGCTCCCCGAAAGTAACCTTGATCATGAACCACATGAATCTGAAAATAATACTAGAAGAATTGATCACATTCGCCTGACTAATGAGCTTGTGATGGGGGAATTTAGTTAAAATGAATAAATTCTACATTAAAAGAAAATCTTCCAATTTAATGTATTTAGTAATGACTCGATTTTTTTTCATATCGACTGAATTATATTCTAAAATCTCTACATCCGTAAGAGAAACTTTGATCTGTTTATTAATAATATAGCTTTTCTTAAGAAAGTTGTATTATTAATAAGTTTATAAATTTAAAGTTTTATAAAAGATTGTAAATTATGTTATTAAAGAAAGATATACATATAGAATAATAATATATAGAGAATAATACAATAGTTGATAAGTAAAGACATAAAAAGAAATGACATTTCAAATTCTTACTTTCGAGTGTTGATTTATTTTTTATTTGCTATACATATATTGAATATAAACAAGCTGTTAAACATTTACAACCGTTTATAATAAGTCATACTGTTTACTTATTGTTAGTTAAAATAAATATATGTGAAGAACTAAAGTGACAGATACTTCACATTGTTATTTGCAGGCAACTAAAAATTATAATCGCCAACAGTGAAATAATTTAGCATTTCTTCACTTCAGTATAGAGGGGCTAACGGTAAAATTTTCCTTGTAGCATGACATTAATCAAAGATGCAAATATGAAGTTTGACCTGTTTGCGTATCGAGTAGTTGATGCCAACAGCACGGGTGGTGATTTTATATTTACAGCTATACTAATTCATGAAAATAGTAATTTTACTAATACTTTTATGCTCATACGCAACAATTTCAACAATTTTATTTATACCAAGAAAATTAATTAGATATTATATCTCCTATTAAAATTTACTTAATATTATTATCGTATTATTTTTATTATTATTCTGATTAGGTTTTGTGTTTCTATTATATTAATATATCTGCTGAACTTCTAGGAAATTTTCAGTAAAAAGGTCTAGATATTAATAAAATTTTTAACAATGAAAATTACATAACAAAAATTTAAGAGATTTTAATATTTAATTTTACTTGCATTAGGCGTGCGATATCTATAAGCCATACCTACCCCTTCACACAATGTGCGGCTGTGAGAACGTAGCGATCGTTTATAAGTGTACCTCCGCAATAAAACTTGTTTAGATACGATAATCTAGCCATCCATGGAAACTCATTCATACTCGTCGTTTGACCTCCAACTATGCGACTTTCTTCGTTCCGCAAACCACAACCTAGATTGTAATGATCGAAGTGCAATACATTTTCTGTATGTTTTTGACAGTATGTCAAATAAAAATAAAACTCAATAAGTAATGCATATTAAAGTACATACTACAGTAGCAGGGCGCAGGTGTATCGCTGGAGTAAGGTGGCTTATTACCAAAAAGTCCAAAAAAATTTTTCATTTTGTCATTGAATGTCCCGGCCTAAAATCAGAATAATTACACTATTGGACTGTCTATATTCATTATGAAGTAATGTTAACGAAAACATAATTAATAATTTAATTTGTCTTGTGACGCATAAATAGAAGACGCATAAATAGAAGACCCTTATAATATATTGTTCAGAAATTAAATATTCTTAAACAAAAATAAATAAAAATTTAAATAATAAATTATTACGATACATTATTATAATTTTGAGAAAAATTATTCTTTTAATTTTTTCACATATTCAACTTTCTTCTACTTCGATAAGCTGTCAAAATAGTTTAAGTTATACGTTTGTATTTTGTTACATATATTTCAATTATAATTTGTTTTATATTATATTGACAATTTCTTGAACATTAGTAATTAATTAATAATAAATTAACTTCTCTACTTCTATTTTACATTCAAATAAAGGGCACTGAAATTAAGGCTCAAATGAAAAGCACTGAAATTAAAAACACGTTACGAGAACTAAAAAATTTCAATGTCACATATCTCAGAAAGTTTTTTAACAATATATTTCGAGAGACACATACCTGTACAACATACAAGGAAATCAATGGCATTAAATAATAATCACAAAGAAAGTTCTTACCTGACATTTTTTTGTTATCGAAAGTAGAATGAATAATAAAATTAAGTGACACAAAGGCTTCATGTTTTGCGACCTAGTAACTTGTTGCACCAATAATACACTCCTAACTTTGATTATGTCTTTGTGGATATTTGAGTGAGAGAGTTGCCACACGGGCACCGTCAGGAACGAGTCATGGACATGTCCCTGACTGAGAACGACTATCACCGGCGTCCTACGCCGACTATGGAGGACTGAGAGGTCGAAGAGGTAATTGCTATTCCGGAAGGGAAGGCGGGCGCAGCCAGCCGGCCGGTACCTGACCAGTTCACGTTCATGTTCAGGGTCGAATCACGGGTGACTGTTATTGACCGTCATCAGGGCCACGACGAGAAATTATTATACCCAGAGAGTTGTTTCGATATTGTCATATGTGTCTCTATAAACTGTTGCTTCCATAAAAATGTAAAAATATTATCTTTATATTTTTTATGTAGCAATATAAGTTTATTAATTATTTTACGAAACAGCTTACATAGAAAAGTGTACACAGTTGAAAAATTTGTGTTAAATTTAACAGATATCACATGTCCCAAACGGTCCACACAAAGTTTTGTGTTAATTTAACATAATATGGATATGTTAAATGATCATACTAATACTCTGTTAATATTTTAACACAAAATAAATGCAAATCTCAAAATAATTTAAAATAAATTTTGTGTAAAATTAACATATTTTTAATGACAAAATGAATTTAAAGAATGCAATTTTTACATTTTACATATGTAATAAGTCAAATGACGGTTCGAAATCACTCTCACTTATGTTATATAGAATAAAATCAACATTTTATTCTGTAAATTTTAGCAGATAAATTTTGTTACTAATAATATAGAACATGTATTGTGTAAGATTAAAGAATAAGTACACATTGTGTTGTTTTAATACTTCTTTTCAAGTATTTTAATAATTTTACATTTGAGGCCAATTAGCACAAGAGCAATATGTTAAATTAACACATGAATGTGTAAAACATTTAATACAAACTTTTTTACCATCATTTTCTTATTTTCTTTAACAAGGAAACACAAATTTTCCAGCTGTCTACACAAACGTGCGCGCGCACATATCTCTTTTTTAGTATAAAAATGAACTTTTATTATGTTAAAAAGATATATAACATATAAAAATATACACGTATTTCTTATAATAAAAATTTTTAATTAAAATTTATTGCAGAATTTTTTTGCAATTTTGCAATACATTTTAATCACCCTGTGAATGCGTAATGAGATAAAAGAGAGTACAGAAAAAGAAGATACACAAGTGCTTATCGTTATTTTATTATAATGCGTGTTCGCGTTTGGTGCGTCATCTGGTACCGTTTGGCCCATTTCACGAATGATTTGTTATTAATGAATATCTCGTCGACCAGTTTTGGAAGAAGAAAAGTAGTCCTATTAGTATACTTGTTAAATCCGGTTATTTTCATTTTTTACCAGAATTTATAATAAAGTTTTCGTTGATCGCTAATATATTATTTCTTAGAACTAGTTTCGATTGAAGGATCAGGTTTAGCAAGTGCGTCATCGTTATTATTGACTACTTATTTATACTTTTACGAAGAATATACTGATGAAAATTATATTCTGATACAAGACAGTCATATTGCGATAGAGAACATTTATTATATTTTATAATCTAGAATAAAAAATATAATTTGATAAATTAGCAAACATATTGTATATGTGCAAATTTGTTTAGTGTTACGCACACAGGTACAGTGTTGAAAATTGTAATAACAATTAAATAATAATTATTTTAGAAACAAAAATATATAAAACGCAACATTAATAACAAGATTGAAGTCCGCAATTTTAATTTTATTTTCACAAATATATAGAATCTACTGCGTTACTACGTGTACTAATATAATATGCAATGTACTATTGAAGTTTGTTTAAGTATATTTGATTTAGGTACATTAACACTTTTGCAATATTTTACAGGTTTATAGATATCTTTTTATAATGTACATGTTTTCTCTAAAAGTCAATCAGTGGATTATCACTGAAAACAGTGAACAGTCACTGATTCGCAGTTATAAATGTACGACTGCAACTTTTAGTAGTATATTTATAACTGCGAATCAGTGACCGTTACTGTTTTCAGTGATAATTCACTGATTGATTTTTAGAGAGTATTATGTATACATAATAGGCAGTATCAGTGATTGATTAACATAAATTACGCTATCTTCCATTATGTACAAATTACCAACTGTGCATACAAAGATGCTATTGCATGAAGTGCATTTGTATGCATCAACTTTAGCCCGGTTTGACACTAAACCGTTACTGGTTGTTGATTATTCCGGAAACGTTCGACCTATTCGTACGGTGATAGAAACGTGTGAAGCGAATTAAACATAGTTGTTCTAAATCTTTCTTAAAATAAATTTTCTCGCATTTATATGTAAGCAATATCTACTTAATAATAATAATAATAATGGCCTCTATATAAGGAACTATATTTAACAATTCAGTAGTCATTAAAAAATTGTTTTTAGTTCCCAAATAAGTCGTCGGTAACGTAAATCGTGCTCGTCGCACCGATCAATTACATGTGAAATTTTTTATGCAAGGCAGAAGTGAAAGCAGGTCCTCAATTGACGCATAAACAGCCTTCCTTCATGTTTGCGTGGATCCATTTGAGATATCGGGCCACTCTGGTATAAACTCCAGGGTAGCCCTGCCTGCCGCACCCCACACCCCATGATACTATACCTATAAGATACGTTTAATACACATGTAAGTCTCACGCGAACAAAATTTCCAATAATATGATGGTTTCTACGAATTTCTTATATTTGTGTAAAAAAAGATAAGGCTATCTGGACATAGACTTTATGCTTGTCCAAATAAGAAACAATAATCAATAAATGTAAATAAAATATTATTAAAAAATTACACATACTAGTATATTGAAGTATATAATAAAATATATAAACATTTCACCTGCTATTTCAAGCTTATCAGTGTCTTGAACGAGAAGAGGGCCGCCACTGTCCCCTTGACAAGAGTCCTGGCTACCTCGACCGGCGCAAATCATATTTTCGGTAATTCGATTTGCTCGATATTTCATTTTTCGGCATTGCGCCAAGCTATATATGGGAACTTGCACCTCATGCACTTTTCCAGCTAACATGCCTCCCTCCGAAGTACGGCCCCAGCCTACTACTGTCCCTTCTTTTCCGGCAGGATCGGTTCCTGCATTAACATATACATACGACCTTTAATATCTTAGAAAAGATGACGATTGATTAATGCAGTGCACATTACCTGGTTGAGGTAAACAAATTGGTCGAACCTTCTTCGAAAATTTGACGGACTTGCGTAATTTTAATAAGGCTACATCGTGATTGTAGGAATTTATGTCGAAATTCCTATGACGTATTACAACACTCACTGCTCTCATAACAGGAGTTCCATCGGTATTTACGAATTGATCGTAGTCACCAAGTACCACTCGAATTTTCGATCGCTTCAAACTAAAATATCGATTAAATCATAATCATAATTATAATATTCGATCAAAGGTCAAAATATGGATGGAGATTTTTTAATACTTAAGATTAGATTACATCAGCATTTTTGCGAAGTACTTAATGAAATAATAATTATGATATAATGTCGCTTTTAATAATTTGGTGATACTTTTAGTTTAACTGCAATTATATTATTGTTATTATTTACATTCTTTCATCCAATTTATCCATTGTAGTTTTATCCATTGTATTATCTATAAACTTATTGAGTAGAGACATACTTCCGTACACAATGTGCGGCGGTAATTACGTAATCGTTGTTAAGCAGACTAGCACCACAGTGGAAACGACTATCGTATACCAGCCTCGCGACCCAGGGATACTTATTCGGTACCGTAGGACGTCCACCCACTATTCGATTTTCTTGATTAGATAAACCGCATTCTAAAGTCAATATTAATATTTAAATGTTTAAAAGTATTGCATTTAATCAAACAGATTAATTATTGCTTCTAGGATAAAAAGAAAAAGCGCTACATAAGTTGGAATATAACAACTTAAACGTACATTATATATTAATTTTTATATTTCTTAAAATTAATAAAATAATCGCGATGTGAGATAAAAACAATATAATTTTTACCGCACGTGCAATTTCTTAGCTTTCCTTCGTCTGAATCATTACTATCGATAACATCGATACCGAATAATTCATCGAATAAAAACCTTCCAGTACGAATTTGCGAATTATTTAAAAAATTTTCCTGAAAGAAACATGCGATTAACCAGTGCGCTCACTTTTCACAGCAAATAAACGATGAGAGAAAGTAGCCACGATCAGAATAATGGGTCAAGGCTGTTAAAATATCTTCGACACTGACTAACCAAATATCTCGTGTATGTACATAAGTATTGCGTGCACATAATGTTTACTTGAATCTGTTAATACTGATGTTTGATTGCAACGGTTACTTAAAATACACATCCTTATGTTTCATTACATAGATTGTATACTAAATAACATCAAGAAGCCTTTAAACAAAAGCGCGTTGAACTCTGAAGTTAAATTATAAATTATTATGAACGATAACGTCTAATAATGTTGCTAATTATAAAATAAAAATTATTTAAAGAACGTAGTATATATTTCGTAAATATATTTGTTGTCAGAAATACAAACTAGTAATATATAATTTATTACGTGTCACGTTATATCAACAATATAGAAAAGAAGCCCAATATTTTCTTTTATTTTATGAGCTAACTTTGATTGATAGTGTCGCTATTGAATCAGTGTACTCACAATAGAAGTAACTGGAGCCATTTTTATGTCTCGATGAAGTCTATGGCCTTCAATTGGTATTGATATAAAAAATATCATGATCAAGATCAGGATCGATAGCTTAATGCAAGACATGAATAAAGGCATTTTTCCATTTGGTGTTCACGAAATGCACAAATATCGTTTCAAATCACGTTCTTCCTTTCATCGATGGAGCACCGCACACCACGCGTTTCGCTGGATTCCACGACTGACATGCATTATATTGAGCCCGTACGAACATTCGGCCACGATTTCGTCCTCCGTTACCGTTCTTTCCACCTTCGTGAATTTTACAAAGAAGCTGCGGATTCTGGTTTTACCGAAGATCACCGATGCCCGCCGCACGCTTTCACCGTAGCTCCACAAAGAAGTCGAACTGATCGACCGAGAGCCAGCCGGTCTTTATGGTTACGAAGAAAGTTCTTTCACTATCGCGCTGCCACCATCGGCCACGGTCCCATTCAGTACACGTGGCATAAACGTGGTGAATTCTCTCAATTTGGAGTCATGATGTCTTTCGTTTTCACGTAAGAATGGAAAGCACGTACGTCAATGGAAGCTTTCGCCGTATGGAATATCACTTTATATTGCTCCTTATGTGACTTAACAATGTTCTTAATTTCTCAGTTTTCTCGAATAATTTTAGATCGCCATTAAAACCTAAAAATATAGATATGTATTTGCAAGCTAAAGAGGAAAAGAATATTAGTTCATGCAAATTGTATATGTAGGTACACTTTCAAAATTTTATGGTACAAGTCAATAACTATTTATTATACATATATGTGACAATTGACTTTGCAGATTATTAAATTTCTTTCTTTCCTCTTCAAATTACATAAATTTACAATTTATTTAATTTTTCTTACAAAATTCTATATGCTCTTTTATGATGTGTTTATAAAATATTTCTTTTAATAGCAAAAATGTCACCGCAATAAAGACCGCTAATGTCTTTAAGAAAACACATTAGTAATAGTGATGGGATTTATGAACTGATCAGGATCAGGATCAGTTACTTTACATTGGAAATAAAGAATGTTTTTTGTTAAAGTAACAGTAACCAGACATAGCATAAACTACAAAGATAGATTATTTTTAAGTCCTACATAAAAGAGTATATATACATATATAAAAGATTTTAATTTTTGAATAAAATCTATCGGCCAGGTATTACGTAGTTATAATATAACACGGATAAATATCGAAAGACCGCATTGTATTGTATAATACTTACGGTTTTTTGGATATTTGGTAGATAGTTATTAATAATCATTATTTAGTCTCTTTTGAAATTATTTTAAGTAGATGACACTGTTCTTTTTTTTATGGAATATATTCATTGTATTTTAATTTAGGAAGAATCACGCGGTGCAAGTAACGGTTTGAAGGTTTCACTAACCCACATTCATCGTTAAAAGCAAAACATCTCAAACCGCTGACCTGGTTTTGCTTTATTACATGTTTATGCAAATATGTAATTATTACAATTTAAGTGTTTTTCATATATTTTGAGACAATGTTATTAATGCAGCTATCTTATCTACTTGCAACAATTTTTTATGTGTGTGTGTGTGTGTGTGTGTGTGTGTGTACGCGCGCGCGCGCGCGTGCATGCGCCCATTTAATGTAAATTTCCTAATAATAAAGTATAAAAATGAAAAACATCTCAAGTTTTTCGATTTACAATTTTGTGGATGACTACTATCCTTTTACCAGAAAAAGACATATTTTGCTGGATTTACCATATCTTAGACAGCTTCATCTTTAATAAACTGTAGCGGTATTACGTTAATTGTTTTTAATCAAGTCTTCGAGCATTTATGATATGTAATAATCTTTCACAGGTAATTTCATTATATTATCTGTGCGTAAATTATAAATGTTTAATTAAAATATTTATTCGAAAAACATATATTTGTAATTTAACTCATATAATTAAATTTTAAAATAATTGTTAAAAATGTATGTCAAACAACATTAAAGCGTTTAAAGGTAAAAAATAACATTGATAAAACTCAAATTCTTTATTTCATAAATACCAAGGTTTATTTCTTGCAATAAAAGTATTGTCGTTTAATAAAATATATAATATATAATAAGAGGTAAAAATATTATATATAAAAATTATGGCACATATTTTTTAGCGAAGCTTATTAATACTTTGTATACATTTAATGTAACTGTTTTATCATCTTTCCTTCGTTTATAGCTTATTTGTGTCTCCGTGTATATACGCTCAAATTGTTTTTTAATTCCTTTTTCAGGTAACATGGCATGTCATTAGTAAAATCAAAATAAGACAAAATAGAAACTGAATATGATAACAAATAATTAACTCAACATCACAATTTAATTGAATGGGTAATTATTCTTATAGCTGTTACGTCCTGGACTCCACGATTTCTCTCTTTCAAAAAACCATAGGAAACATATTCTTCTTGTCTGCCCCCTGCCTGGAAACTATAATTTTAGAAATCAGCGGATATCGACTAGCCAACGCACGAGTCCCTTCTCCACAAAAAATTGATTGTCAGAGTTTCACTTTTTGAAACTCGAAACGTAAAGTGCTCTGATTGTTGCTGGTCAATAGCCGTTGAAATAATAAAAAAGGGGAGAAATAACAGACAGGATGGGATCAGGCCCCTCAGACGGCAGTTTCGACATTCAAACTTTCAAAATATTATACTTAAGTATGATCCGAGACACAAAAAAGGGGATTCTAAAATACACATGTTGACCAAAAAACTTGACCCAAAAGTGAAACTCGGGATTTTTTGAAAGTCGCTGAAGGAAATGATGCCCATAAATAAATATCAAAGGGCGACAACGACTTAATGGTCGGGTTGCCAATAAGAAAAGACAACTCCTTGACACCTCCAAATAATCCACCAATGAAGAACCAAAATCCGAAATCTCCTTCCACGTCCCATGACCAAGATCCACCCCCAAAAAATTGTATATAAACCAGGAGACTGATGGCTCAGTCTCTTTGGCTGCTCCCGACTCCACCAGTGCAGTTCCCTTCGTGTATCTCCAAGTTACCTCGTGATTTCGAGTTATAATTCAACGAAATTCTTTTATACCAAGTTTACTCCGTGCAAGTAAAATCTGTGCGCGAAAGTGGCCGACGAACCACCAAACCGAGCCAGCCGCAACCCGACCCAACCAAGGCGACGCAACCAACCCGACGCAACCTCATACTTCGAACGCAATAAGTAGTAAGCTACATCATCTCTTTTCCTTTCTTTTATTTATATTTATTTTCGGCTCGACGACTCCCTTTCCCCCTTATTCTTTTTCTATTATTTCAACAAATTAAAGGGACCTTCGCTAGATTTTAAAAAATCTCGTTCTTGCTCTCGCGAGTTGACTTCAAGACACCCATCCATCGAAAATTCGTTTCGTACCTCTGGATTCGCCGTTTGTGTGAATTCGATACGATTCGAAGACATCCATCCACTAAGAATTCGTTTCGTACCTCTGGATTCGCCTTTAGTGTGAATCCGATACGATTTCGAAGATATCGATCCATCGAGAATTCGTTTGGTGCCTGTGGATTTGCCTTTAGTGCGAATCCGATGCGATTCGTTTTCTCTTCTAAACCCTCATCCTGAAGTTATCAATTCATAAATTATTATTAACAAACAGAAACTCTAGCCAACCTCCCTAACTCGATACATTTTAGTGGACTCACGGGATCCACATCCAAGACCCAGGTGGAAGTCGCGAGCCGTGGTAAAGAGAAGGAGGAATCGGAGGAATCGGCGCGCGCGTCTATTAGCCGCCCAACGCCATATTTCTCAGGCACAACCCGATCCACCCGCTGTTCAAGACTGCGACCCCTCTCCTCCCTCTTCTCCCCTCTGTGCTCGTCCCGACAGCCAAATCGAGGACCCTCTACCCTCTTCTTCCTCTCCTCAAAATTCTCCTCCCCACCCGTACGAGGCTGAACTCTCTCACTCCGAAGCCCCGGAAATCGACAATAGGCCTCCGTCCCCTGCCTCTTCGATCACTAGTATAGAGATCGTCGAGGAATTCGAACCCCCTCCTCTCACTCGCCCGCGGATTACCTTCGAACAATTTTTCGACCTAATCCGCGAAATCCCTCCTTCTTCCACAATAATAAGAAACCACAAGTAAATCCCTCACACCCATACACATATATATGGTACATACACAATCACATCCGCGTAATGTAGAATCCGACAATACAAACGAGATGTAACCTACTTATATTTTATTTTATAATTCTAAATGTAACGTTTAGTTAAGAGTAATGCTTAGTTAACTGTAATGTTTAATGTTTAGCTTAAAGTTACCCTTTTTTTCTATAATTCTTGTCTAAAGTAATGTCTAGTAAAAATTATCTGTTCTAACGTTTGTCAAAACTATCTCTTTTTATTATTCTAAATGTAGTACCTAGTTAGTTAAAATTATCTTTCCCAATAATTCTTAAAGCCAGTTAAAACTTATGTTTCTTTTATCTTAGATGTAATAATTCCAAATTATTTTATACAAATAAGTATATATGAAACTTCTATTTTTGATTACGACAAATATACTACTATGTTAAACTGTAATCTGTTAACAGTATTCTAGCTTACTTTAACACTTTTACAATTGTTATATTTTATTACGTCTTTTGTGCATAAGCTACTAATCCTGTATATAAATCTAAGGTAAGTTCCTGACCATTTATTGATTTATAGTTAATCTTTCTTTTCGTATATTCATATATAAGTGTATTTTTAAATTCTTCCTTCAGATCTTGTGGCATGTCTTCACGAAATTTTAAAATAGATATTATCGAATCTGTTAAAGAAATATATACATATGTTTGATTATAAATTCAACATATATATAAATATTATGGCAGTGTTAATATTGCATTATAATTCTAATAAGTAAAGTATTACAAAGAAAAGCCTTTAAAGAATTATTTAAAAATTACATAACGTTTTCTATGCTTTTAATATCACTTACTCAAGAAATTTTGTAATTTGTTTTCAGAATAACTTGCTTCCCGAAGGCTGCAATGGAGAACCGTAAACCCTACACGCTTAAGTAATTCTTTTAAATCTTTGCGAGCATTTGTTGATTCTTGAAAGGGTGAAATGTTTTTCATCGAATCCTATATGAACATTAAAATGATAATTAAAAATTTATGTGAGAACATTAAAAGCAAATAAACGTGTAAATATATTTAATATATAATTTAATAATACATATATGTACCAGCACATAAGATGCGAAGCGAATATCCTGCACCAACATTCTAAGGACTTCATATATATCATGAGATGCTATTATATATAAGAGAACAGTTCCATTGGGTTGTAGCATTTGGTAGATATTTTTAAAGGCTTGTCTGTTAAATAAAACAAATATATTTCATTAATTTTTATAAGGAATACATATGTATATGTTACCGGCCAAACATGATTTTATAATGAACTAGTTAGTCCTAAACAGAACTAGTTTATCCGAAACGCGATGGGATGAATCGGTTTGTCTTAGTTCGAACTAAATTATTCTGAAATAAATGTACAGATCCCAGAACAAACTGATTTGTCTCGATCTTAACTAGTTTGACAGTAGTTGCACTTTAATTTATAGGATAAATCAGTTCGGCCTAATAGTAAGTAGGGTAGAGTGGGGCAGGTTCGGACGTGGGGTACCTTCGACTATTTTATCGCTTTGCCGAAGATGTAGAAATATACTATTCTAGGAGTTGGTAACAGTGATAATTTAATGGTGTCTCACAAAATTTCGCTTGAAGACATAAGTGGTGCATGTTAAAAGCTCGATATTTGTATACAACATAATCTACATATAAATTGTCGCGAACGTTGTGAAATTATTATTAGGTAGTGTAGAGTACTTTTTTGGTCAAGGGGCAGATTCGGGCAAAGGATAGTGGGGCATTTTTTAGACATTCAAGGCATCGCTTCCACTTTCCTCTAGTTAACGATGTTTCTACCATTTCCAGGGATCACATAGAGTAAAAATTACCTAAACTAACTTGTGTGACCGGGACCTCACATTTGGCTAGTTTTTTTTAAGTTTAACGTCAATTTTGATTCTCTAAATATTAAATAAACGTTATATATAATGGTAATAATTATTAAATGAACATTAAATATAATATATTGCATATCTGTATTTAATGCATATATATCTGTTGGTAATGTAATTTTTATTTTGTAAATGCATGTCCGAACCTACCCCATGTATGTCCAAAATTGTCCCACGCTAAGGTAGTACAGGACGAATGCAATGTTTTTTTGTTTATTTATTTTCAGAAAAACTGTTTTTTAAATTTGATTTTAAAGAAAGTTGCTTAACATGTCAAAGAATATATTTACATATCTTTAAAGTCACGTATTCTTTAAATCTGGTTACAGATTAAGATTGACCAAAATTGACCAGGACGTCCGAACCTGCTCCACTCTACCCTACCTGATTAAGCTGTAATCAAAGTTAGACATAACAAAGATGTTTCAAACAAAAAATAATTTACACTTATTAAGAAGTTAAAATTAAAGCTATTTTATTAATAAAGATTCAAATAAATTTGAGCTTAAATACTCTTTTATTAATATAATATAATAATTTAGATATAATTATTATACTTACTGAATGTCGTTGCACCAATGCAAAGTATGAGAGGAAAATATATGATCAAACTGAGAAATATATTTTTGAGGTAAATGTTTAGTTTGAATATCCAATACTTCAAATTGAAGACGTTTTTTGTCCTTAAATCTTTTATTCGCATATTTAATCATGCTCTCCGAAATATCCGTACCTTTACAAAATGTATTTATAGAATTAAATAATTACTTATAACATTGATTTGGTCTTATATTTTTAGAATTTAATATTTATTTACCAATTATTTGTGCATTTGAACCAAGATTCGGTAACAACAATTCCTTGGTTACATCTCCAGGACCGCAACCAATATCCATACACTTTCCACATACATCTTTTAATTCTTCACTAAACTCTTCAATTATAAACTTTATTTTACACTTTTGCAGGTTGTTAGATGTTCTGTAAACTTTTGGATTCTGCATGACTTCTGCGAATTACACTATGGTTTTATAAGTAATGTGCTGCGATATGACTTGAGTACGCTTATATACTCCATGGTATCTGTAGTGGGGTGACGCCGAAGAATTTAACTTATCTGTAGAGAATAAAGAGAATTTCGTTTAACGAATTCACAACATTAAATTACTCCAATGTAATTTTACGATCGTATTGTTAAATTTTGTTATTATTTAAATAAAAAATAAATGCTTATAAATTGTCATTTATGAAATACAAACATATTTTATTATATATATTGGACAAAAATGTACATATATGTGTGTATATACATATACATATACAGGGTGTTCCAATTTGGTGTTCCGCCCCAAATGGCTTTTTCATTTTTGATTGCAGAAGAAAGAGCGTTTAAGACGGAAGTTGTTTGGTTCAAGGGAGAGCGTGGGACGGTGCCATTGACTTGACAGTCATTTGAGGGTCACTTGAAGGTCACCTTTAATGGTTTGAATGGAGCCCGCTATTTTTTATTGTACCATCTTGTTCTACTGATTGATGTAAATAACTTTTGTCTGAAACATTTTTTTATTTGCCTAATACTTTTTGAAATATTCAAGAGAAAATATACAGGGTGTCAGATTCGATATGGACAATCCCAAAGATTATAGTAGATTGGGTTAAACTGAGAAGAAAAGTTATATAAAATTTTACAAAATCGTAATTATTATCGGCCGAATTCAGAAAAACGTTTGAGCCAATAAGTGCACGGAGGAGCGGAA